TACAAGCTTGCTTCTAGACTCCAATGGATAGTTGATTCATTAACATTATTACTTGGCCAATTATGAATTTGTGGTGGAAAGTCAGCAAGTGCTTATCGGTAGAAGTCATTCCAGTGGTGGCTTGAAAAAAAAACTATCAATTTTGACTTGGGCATAAATTTTTATTGGTTCATCCACAGTTGGATCTAATGGATCACAAGTCTTTCTTTAGTTTTTGTGTCGCCTTTGTACTCAGTTGCTGCGGGTTTTTAATTAGCAAGGTTGTAACGGGGAAAGTGACTGTGATCACAAAACCTCTCCTTTAACTATTATTGAGTCACTCATGCGTTATGAGGAGGACAAGATCCTATCAAAACATCTAATGAGTCTTTCCAAGCCTTGTTCCGTGTATGGCCGGAATCATTTTTTCACTGCCTTGACGCAAGTAGCTGCATCCTTACACAACCTAACACCAGTAGCATGACAATTACCTGCATTCCATGGCAATAAAGATACCATAAGGCTTCAGACGGATCATATTTTTCAATTACTCTCAAACTAAACAACATTAACTTCCGTGTGGCAGGAAACAGACGTGTTAACTAATCGTCGCTAGGTTATACGATTACTCCTCATGGTATAAGACCTACGTCGAATACAGTTTAACATGGGATTGCCAAAACGGATTTTAGTAAAATCTTTATTTCTGAAATCTTTCGTCTGAACGCAATTTTTGTTTCCTCAACGTGAGCACAATAAATCCAGAAACACTGAAATAAATGGCTATCTTAAAATCCGCGTGATTGGCAAAATATTTCAGTTTTTTAACTAAAAGTTAACTGCTGAAAATATTTGCTGATTGAACTGTACTTTATGCATGAATGATGCGATGAAAAATAAATGAAGCAAAATTTCTAAGAGAGAAGAAAATCAGCGCAAATTTTGAATCTCCCTGGTACCCTGAATAAAAACATAATTTAACAGGAGGCTTTAACAACTAGTCAAGACGGTTTATGTGACAATAACAAAGAATCCTGTGAGTAAACCTTCACCCGAGTGAAATTTGTTATCTTAGCATTGACCAAACTATCGCTAGATTGTCATAAATTGTTTCATTGGAGATATTACATTTCGTCAGTTAACTTCGCAAAGTAATGCTTGATCCATAAATTAAATTTCGGCGGATACAAAGAGCTAATGTCAATTTTATGCAATCGCAAATTATTATTTCTTATAAATATCAAGTTTTAGACCTTACCAAACCTTACAAAGCTCCATGCAAATAAAAACATTTGGAATCCATAACAGATGCTATCATTATAACGCAATGAAACAATTCGCCTATATCACATCACCAAAATACATTTTCTAAGATCGATATTTGATTGTTTGACTATTTTAGTCAACTTCAATTAGAAATCAGACTACTAGTGGTCTTTTGAAGCAGATTACCAACCGGACAAGTCAAGCAGTCGTCGGTTTTTTAAGAGGTAAAAGTGATTTAAATCATTAAAGTTTTTTACACTGGATGTCCATTTTAACCCATGCGATGGAATCGTCCGGCCATTAAAGTTCTGACATTTTGTTTAAATTCATCTGCTGAGACATAGTGTGGCGAGAAAGTGGACTGAAATAACGAAGGAGTAGCAGTATGGTAAGCCTTGAAAAGAGGTGTGTGTGTGCAGGATAACAAGTGTTTCTATAGCTTCGCTAAGCATTGATCCTTCAACGAACAGTCACGTGAAGTGCATTCACGAAAAAAATCGATTGAATCGTGTTCGCTCACGCTCGCAAACTGCGTCCCCTCACGACTGCTAACTGTGCTCGCTTGCTGCTCGCCACACACCCATGGCTCCTGACTAGACCTGTGTCGTGTTTTCTGTAACTCAAATATTTTTCGTTTAGGCATGTATACATATAAAAACATCACACAAACTGCACAGTACACATTTATGCAAGTGTCCAGCATTCGATACAAAACGCCTGTCACTTATAACTAGAAGTAATCCCGGGAAAAAACACGTTTGCCTAAATAAAGTGTCGACCTATTACCAAGAGTGCTGTTCAAGAACCCTAACGAAAATCAACGTGCCTGAGATGAAATGTTAAGTGTTGTGACGAGAAAGACTATTTCTACGGTACGGATGCAGCTAAGGAAGAAACTTATTCGTATATCTTTGTGCATCGTGTCAACAAGCTCCGTGAAAAAGCCACAAGCTCGTCTATTGATTAGCGATTTAACTAATTTAAAGAAGGTCGACGGAGAAAAGGTTGCAACAAATTTATGCAATAAACCAGGCGAAAACTTCATACTTAGGGCTTATCACTTTTATCAGTTCTTGAATATCAGGCATAACCTCCAACTTCCTAGCAGCAACGAACATAGACCTCACACGTATCATATATTTTTATTGTTCAACCAGAATGAATTCATTGTCAAATGATATTAGTTTTGTGAATTACTTACCACAAGAGTTTCTTTGTTTAAAAATATCATTTTTTTTGGTAACTGTCGCAAACAGCATACATGAAACATACACCTGCTCTTACAGGGTTACCTCAAATCCTGTTTTGAACCGCTTTTTCATGGGCACTTTAACTTCTCTTCAGCTGAGCATTACAGCAGTCAAGTATTTAAAAACAGGTGATGAAGGATCCACTCTGGTCAAAAGCAGAGGGGATTTACAGCAAATACTCACTTATTTATTGCATACATTCTAGTTTTCAGCCAAAGGTCAAAAGGGTCACGAATAAAATCACAAAAACTATTGATTATTTTACACAATTTTAAATCAATGTTTAAAGGTTTGCTGGGGGTGTTAGCGATCAGCATCCTTACGTGAGACTTGATCAAGACAGCTTACATTAACCCAACATAATTATACATACATGATTATCCTTAACACCTGATGTAGAATATGTTAAGTATCTTCCTGAAAACTGGGGCCTTGTCTCTCAAAACGATCATTCTCTTGTCATCGTAATGAATAATTGAGCCCTGCATTGTCTGCGACCATTCCTCGCATTCCCACATCGGAGCATCTACGAGAGTGCCGGACGTAGTGTTGAAGATTTCTCAGTATCTCCAATGTAAGAGCAGTAATTCTCAAAAGCATGACGAAAGTTTAGGTACCGGACATTAATTTAGTCCCGCACGACCGAACAAGTTAACAGCCGTGTAAAGATCAAAGAGAGAAGTAAAGTGGACATTGTCTAAAGCAGCCCTTTTACCTCGAGACTTTTATGCTGTTCCGCACGACAGCCGCTGTGAGTTGTTTAGTGCAACTTAGAGAGTGATTACCTGTCTCTAATGCATAAAACAAAGCAGCACTAAGTGTTTTTCGGTTCACCAGTGGTATGGAGAATTCAGCTTCAAGGCCTTTTGCCGACAAAACCGCGGTCCTCTTGCAGTGACACATTGACATGTTTCTGTCTAGGAAAAACAATCCAATCCAATCAAAGACTGATAAAAAACTGTTGACCATAGCCACATGAAACAGAATACTACCTCGTAAATGCAACAGCGAAAGTGTCGTGTGGATTTGCTAATACACTGTGCGGGAAACGGCTAAAATAAACCTTTGAATCTGCAACGCAACCTTGTATTTATGAACGACAAAACGAATCGGCAGAAGTTACTATACATTTATTGGAGGTTGTGGTGACTTCAATCAAGGGCTTCGAGAAATTATGGGCAAACTTAGATATTAGAAATTATCTGTTAAGGGCTAAAGTGCTAATTTATGTTTACGTCAAAGGGTACTTACCATACAACATAGGTGTCCTTAATTAGTTGAACACTGCAAGTGCCTCACGGAGTCATCGTCTGTTTTGAATTGAACCGATGGTTTCATTTGACCTGCTACGAAAACTGGCCGTTTAACTCAAAGTAACCTGATCCAACGTCGATTTGGGTTGAAGAACGAGAGAAATATCAGTCTGAGAATGCCGAAAAACCACTGTACATTAACCCATCCAGTGCTATTTAAAAACTATATAAGCTAGATTAAAACTATCACACATGTTCCCTTTAACCATTCACTTATTACCTATGTAGTATTTTTCTAACTTTTAAAACAGAATATCTGCCCTACCACTGCATAATTTGCCTTTATGCATGAGTTAAATTTTATACAGTTTCAAAATTCACTACGGTTATGGCCTTAACGAGTTTGTACACGTTAATTTATTTGTACACTAATAAGACTTGATGTGTTTGAAAAGTAAGCACGTGCTGATGTTTATAATTTCGCTTATCTTTGGTACATTTCTATCCTTGTCCGTATTGAAAGTCAGACAATTGTGTTTTTGGAATTCTATACGACGTATGCGCTTACCAAATGGAACTGAAGGTTTGGCTAAGTGCAAAAGATTTATTACTTTTGCTTGTACGTTTTAAAATGATCGACTTCTCGTCTTGTGAATTGAACAATAGTAGGTAAATACAAAAATTGTGATTCCCTTAAAAACTTGAAAAAAATATATTAGGGATAGAGCCTGAGGTGATTCATTCTTAATTGCTACTTTGCTACTACCAATCGCAACCTACTAGTTGGCATATTGTTTAAAAAAAAATAACAAATATTACAATATAATATAAAGGATTTTTTTTTTCACAACTTAAAGGCCATTTCGAATTACGCATTTGTTAGTTTAATTTACAAGATGGATTAAAATTGAAATTAAGAATCGACTTGTGAGGTCCGACTGCGCTGTCATTTAGGAAACAAGAGAAGGGCTTGAATATTTATTATAACAATAAATATGACAAATAAAGTGATTGGGCAGGGGCCTGTTGACCAATAGGAGTGAAGGAGGTTTAATGGATCAGACTCAAAAGCTAAAAGTCCAGAGGAATGAGAACGTTTGGAGTGAGTTGATATTGCAATGAAATAAATGGTAACCACACGTTTCCTAATCCTCCAAGGATGAGCTTCGTTGGAAGCGCAAGCAAATTATTCGCTCTGGTTTTCCTAATTCTATATAATCAAATATCTGACGGACTTCGTGCCCCTCCTAACATGGATCCTTTAGTAATTCTTCAACACCCAAGTACGTCCCAATTTTTAATTTGCATTTCGATAATTTATTTCTGAATAAGCATGATCTCACCTGCTCCAATTTTCAACTAATTTTATCGAACACGCACAAATAAGTGTAAAATTAAATTGTGATTATCAATCATGACGAAGGAATTGTTGTTTTGTATTTTGTCTTTGCTAGTACAAGCTCAGTGATTTTGTACTACGTGCCAAACTACGTAGTCGTTTTATGCTTATAAAGGCGCAATGTTTTCCATCAAAGCCAGACATGCGTGGATATTCTTCAGTTATCATTCAAATTGAAAACTGTTTGGGAATAATAACACTACCTCCCGTCCTCGTGTTGAGTTCTAACAAATGAGTGTTATGGATTTTTGACTAAAATAGAATCAGTTGGCAGAATTTACCTTCATGCTTTCCACCACTTATCAGATTCAGGAAATGCCAACGTATTTTTTCCTTCCAAAATATCTTTTTTTCAATTAAGTCTCCAGAGTGTTTCGCAACCGCAACACAGATAAGCAAATTTTTGCGCTACACGTGGTACAGAATAAAATGTGAAGCATATTACTTTGCTAATCGACACTTTAATTTTTGACAAAGAAAGCTAATAGTTAACGAAATTTTTTTCTTGTGTGCCATTACCCAAAATCAATCATGTCAATCGTAAAATAATAAACGACCCTAGAAACCTGTATGTTATTTCAAATGACCACTAAAACAACGCTTTCTACCATCACGTCCCGCGCATAATTAAAAATTAATGCCTTTGTGAGAAACGTGCTCTTCCACGTGGCCAAAGCATGTCTGGCGCAAGCACAGTTTACATAAAGAGAATTTAAAGTAAAACGAATGCATCACTTACGGAAAGCTGAGTCCAAATGCATTTAAAGTGAATACAGTAATAAGAGACGTGTAATTTAATTCTGTGAAGAAGTTGCAGAAGTGGATACTTAATGGGTTATTTGTGTTTAGGGTAAATCTATCAGTTGAATAATCCCAAAATCTTTGCACCTTGATTGGTGGTTAGAATAAACAGCGACAACGGCCGCTCGATTTAAATGATCAGCTTTGGGGCTTTCTGAAGTCGCTTTAACAAAACCAAAAATATTTACTGAAGCATAAAGTGTTATGGAGGTTCCTAAAAAATTGAACCCTCATTTAGTTGACTGTACCATTAGACTCCAACAATCTTACATTTTGTTTTTAAATATTTTTGGTAATAAGTTACTGTTGGTGCATTTAGTGTCTTTTTTGCCCTAGAACTCCCTTTTCTCCGCAATCGAAATTTTTCTTAGGTAGAAATGAAAAGACAGCAGTCAAATTCACAGCTCAATGGATTTTCACAAAAATAGATTTCCCTGCAACAATGACCAGCTGCTGCTGGCATTTTCGATCCGAGATTTACCATTTCATCTAAAAAAGACGTTAACAGAGGCCAGAGAAATTTTGGACATGGCAGATGGTAGATTTAAAACAAATTATTTACAGTTATATGCGTCAGTCACACGTGAATTAAAATTTCGCATTTTAATGATTAATGAAATTCTGCCAAAGTTTTTGTAACGATAAAAGAGACCTGATCTCACACAAAGACAAAACTAGCTTTGTTATAATCTCAATTTTAAAATCTCGCCAACAAAGTCGAGACTTCTGGTTTAGGTCAACATGCCGCAATATGCCGAATTCACGGGTCAACCAATAACTAAAATTCCAGGCGGTGTTTCGCTAATTTGTGGGGCGCATCCATATTAAGCTATTTTAATGGGTATTATCAAATAATTTGCTAACTTTTGCGAAAGTTAAAAGTTACTGTAATGCAAAACTTTGCCGTCGCTTCAAACACTGTGAATACGCAACTACTGCTTTATGTTAACCTGTTAAACGTGCTTCGCGTCTTAACGCCCTCCTAAATGAGTTTATTTTGGTTCATAACGGATTCTTTAAGTGTTAAAAGAGGCACCATCAGTATCGCCAATCACACTTAAAACAGGGCAGAATTTGCTGGTCACAACCAACGTTTGCTCAAAGTGTCTGAAAGTGGAAGGGAATGCTCTCTGGTGCAACGATAACATATTTGACGAGAACCAAAAAAATGCACATTACCAATGTAAACATTGGTCAAAACATCGTTAACTCCTTTTGTTTCCTTTGACTGTCCAAAAATCACGATTTTTCGCGATTGCAGATTGTCGGTGCTACGTGTTTTCCAGCGCGAAGAGAATCCACGGGGTTTTCAAATCGCCCAATTTTCCTGCCCCATACCCTGATCAAATCGACTGCATTATCTACCTGTTCCAGGGTGGCGCCTGCGAAATTGTGCAGATCACGTTTCTAACCATCGAACTCGCTCCACCTCGCGTCGATGTGTGCGTTGCCACGGTTTTTGCATCGTGCATTTGTGCACCTATTTATTCTAGGCGTTTGACGCTTCGCGTCATGCGCGAATATGCCAAATTACTGCCCCTGTTTTATAAAAGGCAGACATTTTATCTAAGCACGCAGAGTCATTTACAGGGCAATTTTGGAACGTATCATTGATGCGTAATTCAGGGCCACTCAAATTGAAAGTTCTCCTAAATATCGTGCTACTGAGTGTTTAAAAAGAATGAACATTTGCACAGTTGGCAGAAACTAAATCATAAGTAAAATACATTTATCTCTGTTTAACGATGGGGCTTTGTAATGGTGAAATTTAGAAAATGTCGATCAATCAATTTAGATGGACAAATAAATTGAATAAAGTTTTATTTTTTAATTGTTCATGACGTTGAAAGGGATAGACCACGAGATTTTAAAGGGGAAATGGAAAAAACAGAGATAATTTAAAACAAATAAACAAAAGTGCTTAAAAAATTAACGTTTTCAGGGATGATCCATTAAAGCTTCTTTGAATTTGTTGGCCGAAACACTGGATTTAACAACCAACTAGTGTGTCAAGGAAGACAATTTGAGAAGACTAGATAGCTGCACCAAAAGTAAATAAGATATTGCTGAATATATTGCCATTAATTTTCAACCGCTTCTATGATAAAAGCTGTTTGTGTGTTCATTTAAAGTCCAGCCCCGTGGTTCAACACTTTTATATTCGTTCCTAATCTAGATGCTTCGATTACGTTGCCATAGTCAATTACAATGAAACAAGGTTATCAATGTCGCAACAACGAAAAACATTGACTTCCTCCGATGTCGTCAGACGCCAAAGTGTTCCACCAAGTGTCCTTTGTGGAACACTCCCCATGTTGAAAAAGACCACTTTCTTTTCCGAAACCAATTCCCTTGCTCTGGTCTTCCATTCAACTACTCGAGCCCCTCTTGAGCAATCAAAGCAAATGTCCGGTTTCCAAGGCACCTTCCTTTTTCTAAATTCAAGTAAGTCATTACTGGAATCATGTAAAACATTTGAAAGCGGTAGAATGCCAAGCCAAACCAAGCCTCGTATGTCACTTAAGGCGGAATTGTCCGACAACGAATATAGTTAGCGAGAAGATCAACAGAGGAAATTAAACTCCTAGTAGAATAAACCGATCCCTCTAATTGTCGCTGTTATGATCTTTGATGACGACAACAACCACGGTTACTTGTGGCTTAGCATCAAATACCCTTTAAACATACGTTTATTCTTTTCTGTTACCTGCGATGCATCGAAGAGCAATTTTCTTGAAACTACTTAAGCAGGATTTCGTCCAAAAAACGAGCGAACTAACATAGCGCATTAAAAGCCTGAAAAACCCATTTGGTAAATAGTGCTTGTCTCGCGAAAATGCACGGCGCACTCCCACTAAGGTTTTGAATTCAGCGGTTCAGTTTGAAAATTCTTAACTTGACAAGAGGTAGTGTATTTTAAGTTTTAGTTAATGCCTTATTTTTACATTAACTGTGTTAATTATAGTATTCGGGACAGTTGGTCACTATTTGATGCTTACCGAAGTAGGCCTAAATCCAATCTCACGGAATAAAATACCAATTATTAGTACAAGGCAGCAGATTGGGAAACGAATTTCAAATGGTTCGACAAAAAGGACGCAGCTTTGTGACAATTAGTCTAATCTAGCGCTGCCAGCGCAGATGCCAAGTTCGAAAGCCATTTGCATGTCTTATCAAATGAATTCGTGAATAAAAGCGGTATTTTGGTCCATTGCCAAGTAGCAACAAATGCATTTAGTTAAGCCTGCTTCACATAATAAGCCTTCAAAAGGAAAAAGCAATATCAATTCTCGTTATATTTTATATTACTCCATCGTCGCACACTGCAAACGAGTAAAATTTGTGGATTTAATAGTTCTTGATGCCCATGTCTGTGGTCAATAAACCAAGCGTATCGACATCGGTTGTCGACAATCAGAGACATAAATTGTTTTTCTTGTTATTACAGCTTTACTTATTAAACCATAAATAATGCCGGTTTTTGGCGCTGTATTTAGGGCAAAAGTTATGACAATAATCACGAATTTGTTCCCTGTCTCAAATACCAAAACGTAAAGCATTTTTAAGACGAAACTAAGGAAACGCTGCTTCAATAGTTAGTGTTTTAAAATCGCAAGAACTGTCAGTTGTAAATACGACATAAATTTGTTTATTAACTTGTTTTGTCTTACTCTTACAAGTTTCTCTTTAAAGTGAAAACTTCTGTACTTTTTTGTAAAAATTCTTATCCAAACACAACTGCATAAATGGTGCTAATCAACGTGTAGAGTATTTGGCTTTAAATTTTGACTTTAATAATGACTCTCTCGCATAGTTTCCTCTAGTTGGATTTAGAATGATTTCATCTGATTAATCCATGAAATGAAATGACACGCTGGGATGTGCTTAACATGGAGTTGATGTTTTCATCAACCTCATAAAAGAACACAGTTGGCAGGAAGAAGATATACTGAATTAAGCTTTGCGGTGAATTTTTATCAATTCAACTTTCTGCAACGTGTATTGGGCGGCATTAATGCTCGTAAACTATATGCTTCATCATTTTCCGTGTCTGCTTGCATTTATTTTTTTAAATGTATTTCAGAATTACTTTTCCAGATTTGACTTTGTTTCTCAAAAGTAACTCTGATGCGTTATACTTTTCTGTCACGAAGATTAATAAATCTCACGTTATTTTCAGCTGGTCATGTGTAAGTTTAATTTTCGGTTAAACAATAAAAGTACTCAGAGACATTGCACCATTCTATTCAATTTTAAATTTGTTGCAAATAAGTATATTTGGTGTGACCTCGTACAATTTTAGCTGGCGAAGCGATCGGCCTGTCTATTTTAAGTTAAAAAAAAAAACATTGGACCCCACAGACACGATGGAAGTACCAGGTTAGCAGGCGGAAACCTTCAAATGTGCAATTTATGAAATGTCATTTCATTTTAAATGAATTGCGAGCACTTTTAGTGGGTACCTTCTCAAACACAAATTCGCAAACCTAAAGAAATTCACATGCTATCGCAGGTACAGCAGGTGCATTAATATTGAATGACGAAGTTGTTTTTTACCTTCTTTTCCTAATTAATCACTGCTTGTGGCTTGCATTACTTTAAATTATATGCTTATAGAGAAACGAGGCAAAAATACAGCCGTGTTATTTTCAATTCAGGGTTAAAACAAAAATTACTGACCAGAGTATTCCAGTCTCTGTTATTAAATCCCCTTTAGAAGGTACACTTTTGCATCCGCTATCACCTTGGCATTCGTCTCGCGGTGGGCAAATTAGATGCAGACTCGCAGTCTCGCAGTGTTGCTTGATCTTGGGAAAAAGAACTCACCTTAAATTGCCTGCGTTATGCCGTCACGAGATAAACTGTGCTTGACTAAGGCCACTATTTTCATTCTAGCATTCGCGTATGCACAGCTCCCATGTGAATTTGGATTCGTCCACTTCGATGCCGTTCATAAACTATTCTTCATGTCTTTAACCTACCTTTGAATTTAAACAAACAATGTAAGCAGTTTTATGCTAAGCGTCAAATGCATCAAATTTTAGTATTTCTATTACAGAGGATAATTTTAACTTTGCACGATGCAAATAGTGTGCTAGGAACTTATGTATTTGTTAAATTAAGTACATGTTTTGCAAGCCTTTTTGCATGTCAGCCAACGAGCAGGTTCTCAGGGCAGCAGCACGCAATTTCGTACTCAGCGTACGTTAAAATAACCATTCGGTGTGAATTATCTGAGTTTGCAGTTTTTATGTGTGGTTAATAAATGATTTACATGCAAAACGGACATAAATAAGCGTGCTGTGACACTGTAAGTCCGCATTAAACGATGTGTGGACATATTTTTACCTAGGTAATTACAAAGTGAACGGGGATCATTTACGAGGCACCGAGTGCTCCTATGTCATCCAGAGCTCTCAATCAAAACGCCTCCTCGTGAGTGGTCGAATCGTTTCGCCACGGTTTCCTAACGACTACCCACCGAACGTGCGCTGCGCATACACCTTCCTTGGCAGGCGCAACGAACGAGTCGTGATTGCCGTTCGTTTGTTGCAGCTGAGGCACCTGGATGGTGCGGGCATTAACAACGGGACATCAACGAGGTGCTCCACTTTTTTTAATCATTGCAATCATCATCACCCTTTTAGCCAGTCCTTGAATTTAATTTCTGTGCAGTTTGAAGTCCAGCAATCATGTTTACAATACCTAAGAGCCCTTAAGACTACATTGTTGACAAACCTTAAATCGCAGATACATAGCAACGGCACAATTAATTCGATCCTTGTTGCTATGGTAACCTAACTTACTTAAGCATGCTAATTTATTAGGTTCATTTAACAGCACGCTGCTACTGTTCACGACGGTTTGTAGTATCTTCGATGTTAAACAAGCCAAATCCATGCAGAATTGTCAATTTAACCTCACAATGATCCTGGCGTTCTGGGATCTCAAACATACATTCAGTTTACTAGATAAGATGTAATAACCGCACTTAAGCTTATTACGTCTGCCTCTCTTATTGTCAAGGTTATCTTGCATGACGTACCGGTTTAGTTTAGTCCACTAGTAGGAAATGCAAAAGAAATAAGAACGCAGATTAACCTTGAAGATGCTGTTATTTATATAAGTCTACTGATTCTGGTGCATGTGTAAACACATCTATCTTTGACGTAAGCTAGGTCAGATCCACCACCACCACCACCATGACATACGCAGCATACGGGCAAAACATACACCATTGTTCGTGTTCACTTCGACCGCGTTGAATCCGATTGGCTTAGGTTATCACAGAATTTATTACGATCAAGGTAATCCAAGCATAAGACGCTGGCTCACTTAAGCGTACAATATTTCTTAGTCCATGTAACAGGACTGCCTAGCCTTAATCTTTTCAATGCCCTAAACTCCACCGCAAAAGGATAGCAAAATTTCATACCAAAACTTCCTAGTAAGGCTTGATATTTGTCAAGACGTTTGTGGAAAATTAGAAAAAAATATTGACGTTTTTTCTAATATAATGTGACAGTTAAGTATATGCCTCTAGTTAGCCAAGCGACTTAAAGCGATAGCGTTACGAGCACTCGTGCGGTCCTGCGTGTTCCCGTTGGAATCCCTTGGTGTACTTTGACTCTAGTAGTAAAAAAAAATACGATCACTAAATGTCAAACTGTTTCTTGAAAATTCAAGTATATTTTACAAATGCACAGTGGTATTGCCATTGAGCACTGTTGGTTACCGCTCGCCATAATCTTTTTGTCTGAATCAGATTGATTCTTCTGGGGAATCACTCCGTATGAATTGCACCGTATTGCAGTCAATTCAATGGATAAATCTTGTCCCAAGGTCTGACTAGAATGCCTCACTAGACTTCAAACATTTTTTTATGATGTCGTTTGGACAAATTTAATAAAACGGCATAAAATTTTTGGAAATGAAAACGAATTCAACGAAATATTATCGTTGAAGCAAATTCATCGTTACAAGGGAGCGTTTGTAGGTGAATACTGTTTAAATCAGACGTAAAACAGCATTTCTTTGGAAGAAAATTGTTTGCATTAAAAGTATTGTTTAATGTATATTTTGCAATTTTGACTTGCGGAATTCTTGTCTACAAATTTTCCTGTGCAGTGCCTATCAGTTATGTTCCCATGTGACATAATTACAGGGGAGCTGCATTCTAACTGGGCTTCCAAGATAATGCAGGTTTCCAACCAAACTCACCATTATTTGCATTTTTTTGGATGCAGCTGCGTCTACGAGACGTCGCCGTTGTCCAGCTTTGATCGAATTCTTATCCACACACTTCCAAAGGAGCGCTGGACGGAGCCGGTTCTTTTTGCACGGCTCTGCGGCTCACTGACATCCTTTCAGATAATTTCAGAGGAACCGAGTCTCCAGCTTACTTTCATTTCACTGCCTTTTGGGCCAAAAAACGGACGATTTTTGATGGAGTATGTCTTTGTTAAAGGAACGAGCGTCAAGCCGAGCAGTTGGACGCCCACTGTTCCTGCGTTCTTTGAACAGTGGTCAATGAAACAGAGCACACAAGAGGTTTTTAACTACTTGCAGAGTGCTCAACCTTCCAACACGCAGAACATGGAATTAGGTATGCAACGTCATGTGTTGTAGTTTGTTACCGTGACCCTTCTGTTTGTATGGTTCTCTTTGATAGGTACAAATGCTTACAGTTTGACAAATCCTCATCTAAGGGTACTTTTAAGTGTGGCGAAATCGACAAAGATTTAGTTTGGGCACTGACCTTTGTGAGATGAAAGGCGTAAGTGTTACGCTTCCCGGTACACAGGTGTTAAACCCCGGGTGTCGCGAACACGTGATAGGCTTCCCACACTAGCGCTCAGACAAAACACGTATGAGTCAGCGCCTCCCCACGCTAGTGCAAAACGAAAGACCCACGGCTGTTTCAGCCGAAGACCAAGTGCACCTTCACATGGACCCACTTGTATATGGTGTGGGCGGTCATGAGTGCGGGAAAGAGAATTAGTTCGTTCAAATATGAATGGACCAATCGGAAGAAGGAGGGGGATATGAATGCGAAAGTTGGTGTGCATAAACCGCAGCCGGTAGCGAAAATATAAAATTGTAAAAATCTTGACAATTGTAGCCTTGGAGATGCTGATGCCCAGGCAGAAAGTGGTTTATAATTTTTCAGATAATTTTAAATCTTAACTTTTTATTATCAGGAAAGTAGGATTATCTAGTGGGTGAACACGGTTGATTTAGAGGCCACAATTTCATTAATCAAATTTGTGGCACAACTTTTGACAAAGTAGTCACTTTCGCATTTAAACTGTGAATGCATAAAATTTATGCACTCTACTAAACACGATATCTTCATGCATTCACTTGCTGATGACTTCCTTGCAAAATTGTGTTCTCAAAAGTGAATATTCCTTAAGCTAAGAGTATGACTTCACTACCAGAGATACTATCTTAATTTCTCGACTTTAAAACCCTTTCTAGCCATGTGACATCTCAAATAGAAGGTTCTTACTTCCATGATAATGGTGTGTGTGGTGGGTGGACAAGTGCGGTAGAAAGTGGAATAGTCCCATCAACCGGAAATCGGATTTTTGAAGCAACTCTGGGCAATTGGTTGCTGAAAACATGAGGAACTGGGATGTCCAATTCAAGCTCCATGCGCTCATTACTGCCTAGTTTTATTCGACATCAATCCTCAAACAGTTTCTTCGCTTGAAGTCTTCTTGTCCAAATTCCACCTATCTCAATTTGCCATCAAATAATCCATCTGAATCTCAACGCCAGGATATTTTATGCATGTTGAAGGAGTTTCAAAAAATGGGTCCATGTAAAACCTTTGATAATTTTGTTGACCTATCAGCGTGGTTGAATAATATCCTATTGGAGTGACAACATTTGTGACAGGAAGTTGCTACCAGGCAACCATGCATGTAATCGATCTACCATCGTCACATTTTAACCACTCCCATTCTGCGACGTTACAAATTACTGGCTGACATGTTTTAACCGAGTTTTAGAATTTAAAAAGTGA